TGAAAATTCCAGGTTCTGTAAACAGTGAATCATTTTTAAATTCAAAATCCAAGTAAATATTCAGCAACCACTTAAATATTTTAAATTCATTCAGTAGTTTGAACAAGGGCTGAGAAATAACATAAGCCTAACCACATATTAAATAAGAATAATTTGAAAAATAATGATCAGAATTTTGAAAAATGTCAAATATAATAATTTGAAGGCAATTACAAAAGTAGATTTTTTTCTTTGGCTGAAGTATTAGTGTTTTTCATTTATTTTGGAGTAGAAACTGAACAAAATTATACTTTTCCAGCCCTCTAATGACCAGAATAGGACTTTTAAAAATGTACAGGAAAATCATTCCAAATTTATACTCACCATACCTCAGTCATTTTTTTCTTACAACTGAAAGATTAATATTACTGCTTTGAGGGTATGAACTCTTGCCCCCGTAGGGCCTGCTTGAGTTAACACCAGCCTGTAAGTGTTAGAAATCCCAGTAGTTTGAAAACCTTTCCATTGTAACTTACAGGTTTGTAATTCAGAAATTTAAAATAATTCAACTTTTTCCACGAAGCTGTAACAACTTGCTCTTTTTTCTATAGCACATCCAAAGCATTTATCCACATTCTCTCCTTTTATCCTAACAACTCCACGAGGGAAGAATGAAAAATATCATCACCAGTTTATAAATGAAAAAAGTGAAACTCAGATGGAGACGTTTGCCCAAGGTTAAATTCCAAGCAAGCTGTACAGTTGGTATTCAAATTTAGGTTTTCTTCCGAAACCCAGCTGTTCTTCTCTCCATAGACTGTACAGATATATATATATATATATGTGTGTGTATATATATATATATATACATACATACATATATATATATTTATCTGCTATGTTTTACCTATTTTAAGACAACCTCAATTTCAGAGATACCTAAAACGCAAATAAACATATGTCTTAAAATGAATGTAAATTGGTATAATTTTTGACTGCATGGAGATTTTTTTTTCCCCAAAGCAACCCAAGATATAGAAAAAATATTGCAAAAAACCAACAGAAGCAAACTTAGATTTTAGAAGAATAAATATAGAATAAGAAGCAAAACTGAAGCTTCTGAAATGACCCTTATTTAAAGACCATGAGTTATATTCTGTTCCTTATGTTCTTAATTAAAACTATTCATACACACACACACACACACACACACATACATATAAACAGCAGTCGATTCCTAGAAGTGTTTTTTCTCTGTTTAAGAAGCACAAGGAGACATATTCAAAACGTTACATATTTTAATATAACACTTATTTCATACCTTCTAAAATTCCCCACAAATCACTAGGAATAATTAGAGTTATTTTTCACTTTTTTTCAAAATACTTTCAATCAAAATTATTTTAAAATAAACGATTAAAAATAAAATAGACCGTTTTCCCAAAGCAGTTTTCACTTGTGTTTATATCCTGAACAGTATCAAAAAGACCAAGCTATTTCCACACTTCCTCAATTCAATCATACCTTCTTCTCCAACCCACAAAGACCTACCCTAGTCCTAAATTTTGTGGCACCTAAAGTCAGTCCTTCCCTTATATAATATTAATTTTTCCACTCCATAAATCCCCACTAGATCCTGTCTTCACAGAGGAGGTACTTGCCTTTGTATGTGTTTATTATTTCCCACAGCTCTCAGCAGAATGCACACAGTAAGCAAATGTTTATTGACTGAAGAAAGCTCTTGAGATCATATGTAGAGAAGATAGTGAATGAAAAAGAGGCTTCATAAGGCATGTTGATTTCAAAGCCCAGTTTGGTTCACTGCTGTATTCCCAGACTGAGAACAGTGCCTTACACACAGTAGACGCTCAATAAATATTTGTTGAGTGAAGAAACATTCAGTTTCTATAAATGTAGGAAGTTCTAGAGCAAGTCACTCTCTTTTCTTTAACATCATGAAAGTGCATAAAGAAACCATAGCTTCTCCCTTTCCTCCTGTATCTATAAACTGTTGATATTCACTACACTAACGTAAAGTTGTTCATTACTAGGGATTCTATTAATTAAAACAACCAAACCATAACCAACAACAAAAATCAGCCCCACCTTTGGCTAGTGATCAAAAATCCATGACAAGTTTGGGGGATGTTCCATCCAACCTATTTTAATGACATGCTTTCTGGACTGGTCATGAATTCTGCCCTAATCTCAAGGCCGTAAGCAGGCCACCTGAGCATGTGGACAGTTAGGCTGCCCTAAGTTCCTCAAGAAAATGCTTCAAGGCAAGAGTGATGACTCAAAGCAGACCATGGCCTTTACACCTACCATGTCCATATGCAATCCTGGATTTACTAACACTTTTAGAAATAATCTCAGATCCAATCCCACAACTTTGAGCTTATTTCGGAGGCAGCGACCCAGGTGGGATTGGAACCTATAAAGGGTCCTCCTATTCATGCCTTAAAAAGAAATGTCTCCCAAGTCTTCAGCCTTAACCCTTCCCCCAACCACTTGACATTTCCCATCTTAAAATGTTGAGGTGAAACCAGGGAAGATACAGAATCTAAATAATAGCAATGGCACATTTTCATCATCTATTTAAGACCTGGTTCAATGTTTACCTTTCATTCATTTCCAGTTTAAACTGCTGAACTCATCTAAACTTGTTCACAATGTATAAGCAGTAGACAGTAATTCATTTTAAGAAATATCCTTTTTCTAAAAAGCCTTAGGGCTTCCCTGGTGGTGCAGTGGTTAAGAATCCGCCTGCCAACGCAGGGGACACGTGTTCGAGCCCTGGTCCCGAGCAACTAAGCCCGTGTGCCACAACGACTGAGCCTGCACTCTGGAGCCCGCGAGCCACAACTACTGAAGCCCGCACGCATAGAGCCCGTGCTCCGCAACAAGAGAAGCCACCGCAATGAGAAGCCCGCGCACCGCACAAAGAGTAGCCCCTGCTCGCCGCAACTAGAGAAAGCCCGCGGGCAGCAACGAAGACCAAACACAGCCAAAAATAAACAAATAAATAAATTAAAAAAAAAATAAAAAGGTTTAGATTTAAAAGGGCCAGCCATCTTTACAATCCTGTGAATTTCCAATTAATTTTTACTACAGTGCTATTAAAATCAATAGAATACACTCTGAAGGTCAATAATTTAGAACAGATATAAAAGTCTTATATAATATGCTCCTTCAGAGTTACCTTTCTCTTTGCTTTCCTAATACACAAGAGATTCAAGCAGAAATGACATATCTCAAAAGCAACAGAACCAGATTTAAAAATAACTTGCCTTTAGAAAAATATATATATACGGCATATTAATCTATATAGACCTCCTCAGTGACGTAAGTATGCAACGCAGACATTCTACTGTGTGTAAGCAGATACTATAAGGTTAAATGTCTGGCAAACAGGTAGCTAAATCATGAGGGGGAGGGGCAGAAGTCAGCATAAAATGGGGAATGTGAAGTTCTAAACAGGCCATTCATGCTAACAAAAGAAAATACCTGGAGAATTGGTCAGCTTTTACTTAATAAATAATCAATGTGATAGGCATGTTCAGGTGAGACAAAGGTGGATTCTCATCTGAAACTTGACATGGATCTCCGATTACAAGTACCTGAATCACCAGGTGGTCTAGAATTTTTCCCAAATCTAGGATTAGTGACATGTTGATTAGATTCCTACTAACTAGTCAGAAAGACATACTTTTTACAGGTTTATGTCTTGCTTTCAAAGCTTTGCAACCCTGTTCACATACAAGGGAACAGTAATGCTAAAAGGACCCAGCCTCTCCCTCCTTCTGGGGACCACAGGCAGACTCCGCACTCCAAGGATGTAACCTAAGCTTGCACAGATGGCCTAGCTCTCTGCTAATGCACAGGAGCTGGGTTTGTTTTCAGGGTGGGTGCTGCAAAACAAACCCAGGTGTATTTATAGACAGGAGCAAGACTATGATGGAGGGATGATGACAGAAGATGAAGTTTCTTCTGCATGGTGAAGAAGCCTGTGGAAAGATCTGGATCCCACAGCCTGGGTTCCACTTCTTGACTCGCCAACTATCAACTATGTAAAGTTATTAAAGCCCTTTTCGGTCTATTATCTTACGTATAAAATTTAGACAATGCCCCCTGCCTCGGATGATTGTCAGAAAAAGGAAAGTGTATGTAAAATCTGGGACGTGGTAGGCCATTGGTAAACGGCAATCTACTCTCCCATCCTCCTGTTCACCCTGAATTGCCCCTCAAAAATTACAAACATACACTGCAGGGTTAAAACTAAAAAGCCCAAGCTGGTTGGCAGGGAAAGAAACAACCTGGGTGGAGGCTCGCTTATTTACTGGAGAATTTAGCTTAAAATGGATTTAGGAATGATAAGAGGGGAGATACATGGAAAAAGCATCAGGTATAAGCAAAACTCCCCCCCCCCAACTCCCGCTCCCCGCAAAAAGACATTCCTTTATGTAAGCACGAAACAAACTTCGGAAGCTGCGGATATCCTGTGAACCTACACGGTGGCCTCAATTAAAATCACAGGCGCACGTAGAGCTAAACACGACGCACACCATCCATATGCCGCCTTGTCAGTTTCAGATCACGCTATTTTTGCAAAACTGTCCTCAAACCCAAGGCGGCTCCCGCCTCCAAATCCGCCCCAGATGGATTTGGGAGCCAAGAGCGAGTTGCAGAAGGTATAAGGATGGGAAAGTGGAGAGGTCTGGTCAAATAACTGAAAAACAAGGCGGTGGGTGAGGGGGCGGGGTAGAGCAATGGGGAAGAGACGCGGCCAGTGAGCCAGAAAGACGGCGGCTTCACAATGAAAGGAAAAGACTGCGACAGTCGCCGGCTCCTGGTCCCCGGCGGGGACGGATGGCGAGGCCGGGCGGGGGAGGCCAGAGCGTGGGAAGACAGAAAGGGGGTGCGGGAATGAAGTGAGAGTCATTGGCCAGACAGGGAAGTCACGGAGCACCCGAGCAGGTGCAAAGCCCCCAGGCGGGGAGGAACGGGCTCGGGATACTCACGGTGTAGAGTAGGTTGAGCGCGCACAGGCAGTTCTTGGAACACGCGAAGCCCCCGCAAACCATCTTGGAGCCTGAGGTTCCCGGCAACTGCAGGTAAAGTCTGGCTCCGGCGGAGCCTCCAGGCAGCCTCTTTGTCCTTGCCTTCGGGGCCTGGCCGAGGCGACGCAGCAGCGGAGACGCGGTGGGGGGCCCGGGGCTTGAGCAGTGGCTGCAGCGCGCGTCGCGCCCGCGGCGGTTCCTACCCGCTCTGGAACCTGCGGCCGCAGCAGCTGAAGACAGAGTCGGAGCCCGAGCCCCGCCCAGACCCCCGCCTCGCCCCGCGCGCTGATTGGCCGCCGGCGGGGAACAAAGGTAGAAATATGCAAATAAATGCGCTCAGCTAGCTGGGATCCGGGAGGGGAGGGGAGGGCAGGGGAGGGGAGGGGAGGGCAGGGGAGGGGAGGGGCGGGGAGGGGCGGGGCGGGGCGGCCCCCGGGAGAGGGGGAAGGGGCGAAGGCCTTGAGGGAGAGTGCCTGAGGCCAGAGTGTGTGGCAGCGACCTCGCCGCGGGTTCCTGGGGAGCAGGTGAGGAGAAGAGGGCGGGACTCCCCGGAGATCCACGCTGGCAGGGAGAAAGATGACAGCACCTCTCGGTTCTTGGCCCCAGCGGGTGACGTGGCACCATTTTGAATGAGATTTTAAAATTAAGCACCTGGCCTTGTTTGAATGAAGGAAAAAAGGAAGGAATGAAGCAATAAATGAATGAACGTGAACGATTTAAAAGAGAGAATGAAGTGGGGGGAAATGAAAGGAAGGAAATAAGTGAAAGAATAAACGGAGAGATGAAATCTCTGCTTTTCTCAGAAAATAGGTAAGGTATATGGCCCATAATTGTGACCCTTGTCAGGTCAGATGTATCCTTCAGGGATTTGCAAAAATGCTGATAAACTTTATCATACATGCAAAAGAAAATCAAGAGGTTTTTCTGTCTTCCAATCTTGCATTTCAATAAGCTGAGGGGTTTTTTCCCACAAACAACTGTGAAAAATTTTTAATGACACAGTCTCCACCTCTGTCAATTCATTATCATTTTGAGTGTCTATTATAGAAATGCTTCATGTATCCTCAGATTCCTCACCTATAAATTGGGATATTAACAGTATGTCAAGCACTCTTTGCAGAGCGCCTGGCACAGTGTAAGGACTCAGCTAGTCCTTAATATATGTCAGCTAGTATTAATATATCTAACAGTTTTTGAAAACCTGCTGTGTTCCAAGCACTAAGCTAAGCCAATAAAGGTTTGGTTATTTCATGGTGCCTTCTACCATAAAAGGTTCTTAGAGAGAAATATTCAGGTACTTATATGAAACCTAAGGGTTCATGCTGAGTAAGTTATGTGATAGCAAATGATACTGTATATGTTAAATAAAATATTGCAGCTGATAAAAATAATTTGTCTTCTTGGAATTTTCTGCTTCCTCTTCTAATCTCTCTTTACCTTCCCAGACCCGACTTCACCAAGAAAGCCACATTAATTCTTTAGCCTTGGTATTCCACATTAACCTTTTGTATACACCCAAATGAGTTCCTTTTTTTTTTTTTTAATTTTAATCTGGAAAATGACCCTCAAACCCAAATAAAACTTTGTGGCTCAGCTTTCCATTTGAGAAGCCAGAGGCTTATTAAAGAAGAATTAGGGGGGAAATCTATTCTTTCTCTTCTCATTCGTGGATGTCACCAATGTTACTACCACTTCAACATAACTCAACCAACTGTGACAATTCTCTATTTGCTTTCTTCATAATACACTCTACTATCTGCCTGTGGGTTGAATCTCTTACTTTTTCTCATAGGAATGTCCCCTATCAGTCAGGGGCCCAGCAGGAAGGAGGTGGCTCATTCAATGACTGAGAAGAGTTTAATAAAGGGACTGTTTTGAAAAATATGGACAAGGTTAAAGGAAGCCAACAAAGGATAGTGAAGCAGCTCAGAGCTAGCAAGAGCAGGTAGTTATTATAATTCCCCTTAAGTCTGGGGGGCAATTTAAGGGAGCAGTTACGGAAACCAGGCAAGAGCTAAAGTTGTAGGAGGGTTGCATTAGGAGTTGTGGCCTTTAAGAGAGAAAACAAAGAAAGTACTGCAAATTGGAAAACAAAACAAGTGAACATAGTGGGATTCCACCTTAGAATTTGGATGTAGAAATTTGCAAAAGACCATTTGCTCCCACCCTAACAAGAATGAGCTAGAAAAGCTACAAAACTATAGTTTTTTTTAAAGAAAAACCTATCAGAAAACAAAACAAATGAACAAACAAAAAACAAATTCACAGATACAGAGAACAGACTGGTGGTTACCAGGGAGGAAAGGGGTGGGGAGGTAGGCAAAGTGAGTGAAGAGGATCAATTGTATGATGATGGATGATAATGAGACTTCGGGTGATGATCACTTTGTGGTGTATGTGGATGTAGAATTATAATGTTGTACACCAGAAATGTATGAAATGTTATATATCAATTTCACCTCAACTAAAAAAAAAAAAATCTCTCATGGAACTGAGGAACCAAAGACATCTAAAGGAACTAAAATCCAAGAAGTAATAAGACATTCTTAGGAAGAAAAAGCCCACAGTGTTTTTATCTCTTATGGATTAGCTATAGAAAGAAGACTGCCATAGAGAGGGATAAAGAGAAACTAGCTGATCATTTAACCATCTTTTAATGTGGGTGTATGGTCTAGTGTGACAGTTTATAATCCAAGGATCAAAAGCCACAGAGTGAGTGTACAACTACTTGCCAACTCTAACCCATGGGCCTTCACATAGTACAAGGATTTGAAGCTCTATAGGCTGTGGTCAGGCAAGAGAGCTCCCTCCCCAGCTATCTCAATGGGCACAAACATCCTAAAGTATGACAGTGGCTAAAAACAGGAAAGACAAAGCAATCTGGGTCTTTACCTAATCCAAAGCAGTGGCTGCCAAAGGGTAAGGAATTAGCAGAAGAGAAAAATCTCTTTACAGTATACTGCAAGAGCCCTCCAAAGCTGAGTTAAAACAGCAAGAAAGGGAGAGGACTCATAAGGACATGAGTGAAAGCCAAGGACATGACAGAAGAGCAAAGAACACTCCCCAGCAAAAAAAAAAAAGTAACAGCCAAGTTGTAAAGCACATCTGAGGCTGAGAATGCTGGTGACTGAGCTGTAAAGTACAAAGAGATCTGTATGAGGTCTCCTTCCTATAAAAGGAAAATCTTGATTGTGTCCTCAAAAACATTTGAAGCCAATGCTGAATTGAACCTAACTAAACCTGTAACAAATCCTGACCCAGCTCAACTATAGTGCAGACTGACTTAGGTACCCATAGTAGCAGCCTGGCAGAATAAAGGATGTACCCATTTCTGCTGGTAAATATTATTTACTTTACTCTCAGTGTCCTTTTATACACACTATCTGACACACAATCAAAAATTATGAAAGACTTGGATGATCAAAAAAATTTGACCTATGGTCAAAAGAAGAAATGGTCAGTAGAAGCAGAACCAGAGATGATCCAGATATTAGAATTATCAGACAGGTCCTGAAAACTCAAAATGATAAATGTGTTCAAGGATTTAGTGGAAAACATACAGGAGCACACAGAGAATTTCAGCAGAAAGATAAAGATTACTAAGGGGAAAATGAAAATAAAATGAAAAATATAATCAGAGATTTTTGAAAATGTGATTTCAGCAGACTGGACACAACAGAAGAAAAAAGTAAACTTGAAGATAAGTCAAAACTAAAACACAAAGATGAAAAGTGGAAAAATGGATCAGAGCATTTGATACCTGTGAGACAAAAATCCAGTAGTGTGTGTGTGACTATAGTTCCAGAAGGAAAAGAGAAAGAAAACGGGGCAGAAGAAATATGTAAAGAGAAAATAATGGTCAGGAATTTTCCAAAGTTAGTAAGAGATATCAACGCACAGATCCAAGGAAGATCACCTCCACCATTCTCTACTAGTCAGGAGAACCCAAGCCTGACAAGTTTCAAAGTGAGGGGAAAGCAGACCCACCTCTTGATGGGAGGGTTACAAGTCACACTGAAGAGCACAGAGGATGCTAGGTACTGTAGTGTATCTTTGGAAAATAAAATCTGCCACAGGTAATGTCCTTTTTCCAAATTATGCTTTGATATTGCACCTTTGTTGACAAATTGCTGTTTTTGAGTGAGAAAAAAAATAGGACATTGGACTGTAGTTCTTCTCAGAGAATTATATTGGAGACTAAGGTAAGAGACTGTTTATTTTGTTAAGTGGAAGAGGAAGTTTAATTTTTATAAAAGAAATTTGTCAGGCTTCCCTGGTGGCGCAGTGGTTGAGAGTCCGCCTGCCAATGCAGGGGACATGGGTTCGTGCCCTGGTCTGGGAAGATCCCACATGCCGCAGAGCAGCTGGGCCCGTGAGCCATGGCCGCTGAGCCTGTGCGTCCGGCGCCTGTGCTCTGCAACGGGAGAGGCCACAGCAGTGAGAGGCCCGCGTACAGCAAAAAAAAAAAAAAAAAATTGAGTCTCCTAGAAAACAGCTTTTTTAACTGTTTTTAAATAGGAATAACAAACTAAATCTAATCAGTTTTACATATAATTTCTTAATCCTTAAATAAATCTTTAATATGAGATGAGTTTCTAACAATTTAGGAGATTGCTATACTCCTTTCTCTTTCTCCTTTGTTTTAAATGTGTTTTGTTTTGTTTTGTTTTGTTTTTGATCTAATTCAAACAGAATTCTCGTGCATTAGTCCAGATTCTCTGAGAAGCAAACACCAAGACTGGATTAGATGCACAAGAGATTTATTGGGAGAAACATCTGTGAGGGAAAATAGGAAAGGAGCCATAGGAGGCTAGGAGAGCTAAAAGAACACAATTCAGGTCTGACCTCTATGAAGGACAGAGGGAAGGAAGGATAAAAGAGAGGGAGGGATAGAGGGAAGGAGGAAAGGAGGAGGAAAGGAAGGAAGGAGAAAAGGGAGGGAGGAAGGAAGGAAAGTCTTAGACTGCAGTGCACTTTTTAAAAGCTTTGGCAAGGAAAGCAGGGAGTCTCCAAGCCAAAGCCAAATGTCAGAGACATCCAGCACACCCTCCTGTAATGAGCCTGCCTTGGTATGTCTGCCACAGTAATTGGATAGAAACATCAGCACAAATGCTGTGATGAATTTCAGAGTATAGCGTTGGGGCTGGCTTCAGTTATGCTCCCACGAGAGATCTGAGAGGTGTGTTTTCCTGAAAAATAATTGTGACTACATATTC